CCGTACCCTTGATATGTTTACTAACTATCAATGCTGTACGTGATGAGTTGTTAGTGGCATTGACATCAATGGATGGATCAGAAAGAAGAAGTCGCAGAACACGTGTGTGACCATTAATTGCTCTCAACATAACACTTTAATTGTCAACATCTTCTTACAGTTAAAGAATTCTGTAACAAATTCAATTTATTTGATTTATCAGATACTAATGTTTTAAAAAAGCATATTGTTTTGATCAATTTCATCTAATTCAATATTGCATTCTATTACTGCTACTAAACAATTCATTGTTTCGGCATATCCCATACAATTCGTATTTGTCAAAAAATTAAACATCAAATCCCAAATAGGATATAAATGATTTTTGTAGATACTAATTCTCGAAATTAATGTAGAGATGTTGGATATAAGACTAGTCATATATTAAGGGTGCACACGAGAGGATCATGTAAACTTCAGAATTTAGAACCTTATTTTTAGGCATTATCTTGGCTACCTATTTAGGCTCGAAAAGCAAAAAAATATCAAAAAATACAACTTGACTCCATTATGACCCTTTCATGGAGGTAGTTTTTATCCGCTAGTATTTTCCCTTTGAATCTCTTTACAATTCGAAATCAAATTCAAAACTCAGTAGAAGAAAGGAAGAATCGACTTACTACGGTTGTAATACGAATAAATACATATATTTAATTATTTTTATTTGCATAATAATTGTTTGAAGCTCATATTCCATCAAATTTTTAAATAAAAACATTAAAATGTTGAAAATGTTCATATATTTTAATAGGGTTTTGGCACTTTATTGAGGAATTACTACATACATAGTCGAACTGAACTTGATATTTTGAAATTTAAATTATTTATCAAAATTAAAATTTAACTTGAAATTTATAATTATTTAGTCAGAGTGGGGGACAAACTCGCCCATTGTCACTTTTTCATTAACCTTAAACTTATAATTTTCATTATTTTTAATTAACCTTATTTCTTTCCCAATTCCTGATTTATTTTATTCACTTACTATTAAAAGTCACATTTTAATAAAATATAATAATTTATTTATAGCATTTTTTACTATACTGTAATAAAAAATTAATTATAATAAATTAAATGTTTATTAAATCAAATGTTTTCTTTGCAATAATATTTTTAATGTTGAGTAAACAATGTTGGGATCAAGTGTATCATTTTTCAGACCTTTCTGAACAGCTTCAAGCATACTGATGCATTCGACTTTTTTAAATTGTGTCATTTCTTCGAAATCTCTTGTGACTTTTTTGATAACTTTAACACTTCTCTCTGAATCCAGACCTTTAATTTGCAACTTAATCAGGAATGAAGGAACAACACTGGAATATAACTCGATGACAAGTTCATCGAGTCGAAGATTTGGTTGTACACCACTTGTATGTGCCGGATACCATTGTGTCAAATTTTTTCTGAAATTAACTTTAAAAGTACTAAGTAAGATCATGAGATATAGCAATATATGTTTAAACCAACTTATATTTTGGTTGTACACCACTTGTATGTGCCGGATACCATTGTGTCAAATTTTTTCTGAAATTAACTTTAAAAGTACTAAGTAAGATCATTTATTTTTGCATAATATAATGCCAATATGGTTTCTTTTGATTTTATTTCATTTATAAGCAAATCAGATTTACCCAAAAACTCCACTCCATAAGCGTTCATTTGCTAAATTAAAAAGTGACAATGGGCTAGTCTGTCCCTTTCTCTTTTCTTTTTTATAATAATACATATTATTATATAATTAACATATTCATAATGTTTCACCCTTTCAAAAATATCCTCCTCCTCTCAAATAAACGTACATACGGGTGGCCTCTTTTTTCAAAAAATTAAAATTTGAAATTTTGGGCTCAAATATTAGAGATTTTTTCAACCTTCAACGATATATGTTGTCTATATCAGACCTCCTTTCTTTTTGATACTTAACATTGTTCCTAAATCTTAGCCGTTAAGGCTGTTCTGAAAATATTTTTTTTTCGAAAAAATTCGAAAAAAATTCTTAAAATTCAAAAATCCCTTAATTCCTGAGGATTTTGGAAAAAAGTTTTTACATGAACATGTGTATATTATATGAAGTATATTGATAAGGTAAAAATCAAATTTTATTCCATATTCATCGAGAAAATAAACTAACGAATCCCTCAAAATTGAGAGGGTAATCCTCCTCCTCTCAAATAAACGTACATACGGGTGCACCCTTAATATCACAAAAAATAAAGATAAAAATAAATTTAACACAGAATATTTCGAAAATATTGATAAAGCTCGAAAATATATTAAATTTTCAAACATTTCTACAAACTTAATAAACTTCACATTAAACAAATAAATTTCATTTTTCTGAATATTATAACTTCAACAATATGTTTTAAGGCGTTAAGTCATATCGTTGGATCTGTGTGAAGATAGTCGGATTTGAGGTTCTGATTTAAAATTCGAAAGCTCCTTAAGAGATGTCAATGACTGTCTTTTGATACTGTCTATCCCCTAATTATATTTGAAAGAAGAACTTTGGTAGATGGTATGGCATTTCATTTCAAAGTTCTTAAACTATTTCTTGGTTGACGCAAAAGTAATCAAAAACGCAAAAGTATATATGGAAACCAAAATATATATGCAATTAAAGTAAAGTATAATGATGTGATATCATTTTCACTATCACTCATCAATAAATTCAAAATATTTTTTAAATTTTAATAATTAGATAAGTTAATGATTGGGATGTGGGTTAATACCAGCGGTTATATGATTTATGCTAGAATAAGTAGATTTTGAATGTATTAATATGTTGTCAATCAAAAAGATTTTGCGAGATGAAGAACGGAATATAAGAATGATATCATATGATATGTATATTAAAAATATTAATATGTTATATAAATGTGAATAAAAAAAATAAATATAATTTTTTGAAAAACATTCAAAATTCAGGGAAATTCCTGCAAAATTGTTGCCAATTATGCTGCAAGAATGATTTCAATTTTATTTTAGAAAAAATATATGAAACAAATAATACCAAACAGTTTGTAATTCGTGAAGCTTTTGTAGCTCAATCGGTAGAGCGTAGGTCTCATAATTCTAAGGTTGCGCGTTCGAGTCCCGCTGAAAGCAAATTTCCTTTTTCTTTTTTTTTTCTAAAAATTGAATAGTTGTAAAGTTGTTGTCGATCAAATATTTTTCTGAATAAATCTAAACTTGTACTGATAGAAAATTATGGCTTGGTCATTTCATGATCCAATCCGATGATATTTTTCATATAAGGTTTGGATTATAGAAAATTCGATAAGATTTTGTTAGGAATTGGTGGTCGGTAAGACGGTGTTGCAATCTTTTCTTCAATTTGTTGAGATATCGGGCTTTAAATCCTCTTTTTTTGTTATCATAATCCAATCGAAAGATTCAAAAATTTAATGTTTTCTTGGTTCTGTGTACTCATTGCATTCTCTATGCCATGGTAAAGGAATGTTACGGTCCGAAGTGCAATAACTATAAGTCTTTGCTACTTGGATAAATTTCGTAAAATCCCGATTGATAATGTCACTTTTAATTATTTGCCACGTTTGATCAAGAGAAGAATTCATTCCGCAATGCATTTCAATCGAGAAAAAAACAAATGAATGACTCTTTCTAGATAAATGTAAGGGATTTTCAAGGGAATTTCTCTTCATTTTGCAATAAAATTTTTCATATCATCGACGTTGTTTCTTCAAAATATCCCAAAATGCAAATACGATCGCTTAGAAAATAGTTGCTGTAATGGTTGTAAAAGAAATTTATTTAACCATGAAAATGATACCGAAGTTTCTGATTTTATCTGTGACCCTAGATGTTTCGCCCATTTTTAGATGCAAATACTCTATATTTCATAGATGAATATAATTTTATACTTGGAACACAAGAAATTACAGAGATCTGAACATAACTACCTTCGGCATTTAAACTATACTACCTAATTTAGTTATATTTTTTTACAAATCTTTCTTGTAAACTCTTTATTACTTTGAAGATATCTAAATTTTTTTGAATTAATTTTTAAAAATGGTGGCATTCGTGTATATAACGTAAGGAAACGCTTGTGAGACAGTTTTTTGAGTATCAAAATTCCCAAAAAAAATCGAAAAATGTTTTTTTATTTTAAAATTTATAGCTTTTATCATCAAATTCTCGAAAATAATTTATTTTTGGATTTTTTAGGTCTATGAAAGCAATTCTAAATAGACACTTGATAAAAATATTAGATGAATTTGGACTATAATATCTTATTTTTTTGTATTTGAATATCTTTCTTAGAAATTAAGGATGAATAGCTGAAAAGAATAGAAGAACTCATATGCAAAGAAAACAAAACTGCACAAAATAGAATCTGTTTTGTTGAAACAAGTAAAAATCAGCATGAAAAATCATAATTAGTATGCATCTCAGACTAAATAAGGAATTCCTCAAGATTATAACAAATTTTCAAAGATTGAGATTGGGATAAATTTGGTCTAGACAGTATACTAACAGAGAAAAATTCTTTTATTAGAGAAAATTGTTAATAATACTCTCTCTATCAGCTTACATTCCTGGTAAATATACTGTACAAAGAGATTATGGGTTCTTTACTGTTAAAATAAGTTCAAATATCAACGAAGATTTAAAAGTATAAAGATTTGTTATTAGATCCAGTATACATTGACATAATCTAGGATAATTTAAGCTAAGGGAAGCTCCCAGATTCAGATCATTTTCAATTTTAAGAGTTATCCTCTATTCTCAAATTTTGTGTCTGATTTTTTATTAAATTTATGATGAATGAAGTATCTAAAATAGAATTGATTTGAATTGGATTCAATTTCTTTTTAAAAATTGTTGCAATATTTAAAAACCAATCGTCATACTGCTTCAAGCAAAATACTCAACCACAGTTATCAACACAATTCAAAAATTTTAAAAACCGCCAAAACCGTGTCATTTGCCATACAATGTATTTCCTTGGCGTTCTTCATTCGCTTGTCCAACTTCCAAAGGATTTATACAATACCGGAATTTCTGATTGCCACCGTGCAGTAAATGTTCCATTCGGTGATTCTTCAAACGGTAAACTTGTCGTTAGAATGGAAAAAATCGACAGATTACAAGAAACTCTTATCAGAAGAGTTAAGGGTGCATTCCCAGAAATTACAGAAACAGAACTCGATTATTTCAAGACATCTACAGATGAAATGATGACTGCAAAATACTGGGACCAGAAAATCACAAGAAAAGTTTGCATCAACGGTTACAGTGTTAGAAGCTCTCAATCAATCAATTTCATCCTTACATTATCAAACATCAACTCTCCACCAAACACAGTCAGCGTATTATTCACCGTCTGCAAGTCAGATTACATCTTCATCAACAGCTTTGCTGCTATCACATTATTCAGCATTGTTGATGGCAAGGTTGAGAACGTTGTTTCTTCAATCCCAGCTTCAAAGATCACCCAGATGATGGTTGCTTGCGTTGCTTCCTCTATCGCTCCAGAATACTTCGGCACACATATCGCAACCGAATCATCACTTTCTCCAATCGTTGACTACATCGAGGGATATCTTAACAAGTATGTCACAGTTCTTAAGTACATCAACGAGAACGAGGCCCAGGCTTCCATCAACGATTTCAGAAACAACAACAACGTTGTCGATTTCGCTTCAATTTCTGATCGCATCAGAAAGGTCTGCCTTACAACACCGACACCATCTCCAGAGCCAACAGCTACACCAGCTCCAGAACAGCCAGTCTCCAACAAGAAGTTAGAGAAGAAGCACCGCCGCTCTCATCGCCACGCAATGAGAGGCTAAATGTCTTAGATATCTATTAAAATAAGGCCGTATTAAGAACATTTTAATTTTTTTAAAAAATAAAATATTCTTGATTCAATTTCGTAACTTTTTTTTCTCAAGACAAATAACTCAATCACCAAAAATATTCTCTCACAACGAACTTTTAATTCCATCAATATGACTAAGTATTTCTGGTTCATAATAAAAAAATAAAATTAACATCTGAAGTATTTTTTCATATAAAAGATCAACAGTAGATCCTCATGTAGTGAAAATAAACTTATCCTAAATTACTTCCTTTTAGCTTTGGTTTCCTATTCCATATGATTTATTTTTTGAAGATTTAGGATCTGAAACTAAGAGGAACTTCACTCAGTAAAGTTTTCGAATCATGTTGTTAACGTATGAATCACAACGATTTATATTAAAATTATCGATTTTTGATATCTTGAAAATTCTCTATGGATAAATCGGTCTGTAGCTAATTGTTGTGATGCGCTTACTAATGGTAAAGTTAATAAGGGTTGAAATCAAATGAAAGATTCTTCAAATGTAATTTGACAAAAAATTTGTCACTTTTAATTTCAGAATGGATACAAAGGTACAAGAAGCTTGGACAGCAGTTCAATATGATCGCCTTGAAGTACTTAAATCTCTTATTACATCATCTATTGTTTCACCAAATGCTTCAACATATAGTTCAACAAATCACATTCAAACACTTCTTATGTGCGCTGCAGCACATGGATCCATTGAATGTGCACAATTTCTTTTAGATAAAGGTGCTAAGGTTGATAATAAGAACTTTGCAGGATATACTGCGTTACATTGGGCTGCTTATACAGGAAGAACAGAAACAATCGATTTACTTGCAAATAAAGGAGCCAATCTTGAAGCAAGAACAGAAGATGGCAAGACTCCATTACATATTGCAGCACAACGCGGTCATTTGGAATTCATCAAAGCGTTTTTGAAACTTAGCACTGATGATCGTCCAATAGACATAAATTCTGTAGCTAGCAATGGCTGGAATGCATTGTTTTTTGCTGTAATGGCAAATCAACAAGATGTTGCTGAATATCTCGTTAAACAGGGTATTGATAAAGATTCTCCCGATGCAGAAAACAAGACTGTTGATGCTTTTGCGGAAAAGTATCATAGATTCTGGCTTAAATCTCTACTTCATCACGAAGATTCTTCTCAACAATAAGTACCTTCGAAAATATGTTTGATAAACTTTACCTCTATTTGTATTTTTAAAATATACGTCTATACTTTTTCTTTTTCCAAACAAAGACAATATTTGATATTTTAGTTTTGATTTATGAGTAAAATTGAAAGCAAATAAACAAGATTTTTATACAACTTTACAAGATGGATGGTTCTTGAAGTCAAAAAACTCAAATTGATTTAGAAATCTGCTCAATCCTCTCTTATTTCATTTATAACTCCATTTCAAAGAAAGCATACTAAAAGTAGCTTCTTGGTTCAAAATAATTAGTAGGTTGGGTTTTCTCCGATGCAGCGTCAAATTTTCAAAATTTTATGAAGACGAAAAACATAGAACCATCTATTATGGTATCAGGTGACAACTCCTATGGCCAACTTTGGTGCAAGAAGGAGACACAAGTCACAGCTAAATTCATTAAAGCAACATCTTTCCCATTCGAATCAAAAATTTCTAGAATATCACACGTTTCTGCATGGAATCAATCTATTGCTTTCGTTTTCGATGATTTTAAAGTATTTTTTAGACCAGAGGATGGACAAATTCACGAATTTTCTACAGGAACTTTACGTCAGATTTGTTGCTTAGAAAATAATGTTATTACTCTCCAGTACGATGGCAAAGTATATAACTATTTAGAGAAGAATTTCTATCAACAAGAAGGAATTTCTCAAATTGCGGCATCAAATAATTATATTCTCGGCTTAAATAATACAGGTGTTGTTTACTTATTTGGAGCTGTTAATGAACCAGCTAAAGAAATTGAAAAGGATGCAACAGCTATCTGCTGCACAGGAGATGAAGTATTTATCATTAAATCTAATAGTATTATTGTTTGGACAAATGAAGATTCTAAGAGCTTTGAAACTTCTACAAAGATTATTGCTGGTTATGGTTCAGAAACAGAAGCTTTATTTATTGATACGGATGGAAACCTTTGGCATTACGATAGCGATGCATTATTACAAGTATTTGGACTTCCACCAGTAGTATTTGCTGCTGTTGGCATCCAACACTATGCTGCAATTAGTTATGATGGATCTCTTTATACATGGGGCTTCAATCCATCTGCCCAGCTTGGAATTGGAAGCGATAAGCCATCAAACGATCCATATCACGTCCTTGATGGTACAAGATTAGTTGCTTGCGGAACTCATCATACTCTTGCTGTTTGTGGTGGCGCACCAGAAATCCCTGAAGGTTTTAATAATTCTGTTATGATAAAATCTGCGAAACTTCATCCAAACCAAAAATCAGTAATTTCTCGCGCTGAACTTTTATACTAAACTATTTTATTCTTTATGAATTATAATAACTCCAAATTTCAATTACATTTTTCACAAAGATCTTTATATTTCGACAATAAATGCAATAAATTTTATCAAATTTCGTTACAAAACCATAAAATTGAACTTATGAAATTTCAGATATCATTCAAAAATGATTGAATATTAAGTTAATGATATAAAATAATTAACATTTTTATGAATGATTTCATCATTAATCGAGGTGAAACTATTCTTGAACATTGCCAACATACGTTAAAGATGTATGAAGATTGGAATGATGAAATAAATAAAGCTCATGAACAAAATCGTCTTTTATTTATTCACCCTGTTACTATTCATGAACCAAAAGAGGTGCCAACAACTAGAAAAAGTAGATATTCGCAAAAGAGTAACGCAGAAACTACAAAGGCAATAGATCCTTTAGAGGTTACATTAGAACAAGTGAATTGTGAATTTAAATACAATCAAAATGCAGAACCGACAGCTGAAGAGGTTGAATTTCGTCGATCTCATACGTTTAAGTTCTACAAAGATCGTAGAAACAATACTAAACCCGATCCCAAGATTGACGTTAATATTATTCGTTATCGAGGACCAGACGAAACAAGTGGAAGAATGACTAGAATACCAAATACAAGTTCTGTAATAGGCACACCACAATCTTACAAAAACGGAGATCTTCGAAGAAAGATTCAAATCCGGAAAAAGACACTTCAAAATTCCCAATCATCATTGAAATATAAATATGTTAAAGTTCCACATGACATCAGGGTAACAGGTTATCAACCAGATCCAAGAGAAAAGGCACCAGATTTTCATTTTTGTACACTCGAATGCGAGGAAATCGAACTTAAGATCAAAAAGACTCAAAAAGAAATCGAGAATAATCTCAAACGCGCCGAAAGAACCGTCAGGAAAATTCAAGATCAATTTGAAACTGCAGAACCAATGTATTCCAATATTAGTTCTACCAGATCTCCTCGTAGGTTTAGGAGTAATTTTAGCCATTGATGTACATATATATTGTTTGTATATTTTTAAATTTTTTTAAATACCATGAATTTATCTATATATTATAAGACAAGTTTTTATAAACGAGCATTTCAATTGTTTTATACCTAAAAAATGGAAAACTATTTTCTCATGACATTTTCAAAGTTTTTTTGATCTGACATTTGTAAACAGTTTACGTTGCCAGATTTATAACTTTACAAACGTCAGATTTCGCTCAATGGATAGACCTTTTTATTTCTCCCTTATAGCACTTCTTTCAATTGGTATTTATATGATCCTGGATGCTATTTCCGGTCTTGGTGAGATGAACAAAGGAGGTTTGCCGTTACTTATGGGTGATTTCGCAGTATTCGATATACTTTTCCCTCTTTCTTGCTTTGCATTAGCTGCTATTTTCTTCGGCTATAGATTCAACGAAATATCGGCATTTCCAATTGCTGCAACTATTTTGACTACAGTATATACAGCAATTACCTGGAAATTTTCGATTGGATATATGGTTGACCCAGTTGGATATATTGCATCAAAGAAATCACTTTGGTATTCTAAGGAATTACAAAGAGATATTCAAAGATTTATGAATGACTTCCAATGCTGCGGAATTGACCTCAATGATACAATTAACAATCCAATGTGCAATCATCGTGACCAATGGTCATGCGCACAGGGCATTGCTCTTCACAAAGGACATATTTATAGGGAACACGCTTATTCTTTGTTCATAAAATGCTTCTTACCAATAGCCACTACAGCTATTTTATGGGCTGTCCACCTTACAGGCGGTATTAAAGAATCTAATGATAATGATCAGAAGAAACCCTCCGAATCAAAACTATAGACAAATCAACGAACACTTCTACCACACTAATTAGCAAATCCAACAGATCCTGTACCCTTCAACGAACGAAAAATTATATTCATGAATCATTCAATTAAAGAATTACGACAAAGACCATGACGAATATACAAGTGTTGCTGTAACTCCAGTTGGAGAAACAAGAGCCATTCTTGCAGCAACAGAATCAAATAGAGTTGTTTCCCCATGGGCCGCAACAACAACAGATACAGAAGAACTCAGAGTTCATCCTTTCTTTAGAGAAAGACAAGAGCCTGACAATTTATCGTCTTATCCAGTCAGAAAGGAAGTTCCCCCTGGATTTGAAAATCTATTGGTGCAGGATTTTCAGACACAACAGATGAGACTGTACGCGGTGATCATGTACAGGCAACTACTGCTGCTATGTCTCGATTCCCATCATTATTTGTCGAAGAATTTAAGTGATTTAATTTTCTATTCAAATTAACATGTTAATTTACCAGTAAATATTATTAAGTATTAATATCAGCGTTTTTCTTTATTGAATCCACTATCATCTGGAAATTTTGTAGATTATCTTTACATCAATGCTTTCTAACATATAGAAACTCTAAATATTTGAACTAATATTCAATCAAATATGAGCAGCTTACAAAATGCGTCTATTTAATTAAGTTTTAAAAATCTGAATTTTGATTTAATTTAAGTGAATGATTTAGCAAGGTGATATGTATACCATTTCAGTGATACTATATCTAACTAGCAATGATCGTTTTCCTCTCAAATTTGATGCATTCCAAACATTTTCATCAATGAAGAACGTCAGTTCTGACCTAGAAATCAGAGAAATATCATTACAGGATTATAAAGAAAGATTTACAGAAGTGTTTGATATTGGTTCTGGCTCATTCGGTAAGGTTATTAAGGCAATTGACAATGAATGCAAGAAGATGATTGCAATTAAAGTAATACTGCAGCAAGGATCATATGAATCAACTTACAAATGCGTCCAAAATGAGATCACAATGATGAATAAATTCAAAATGAAAGAAATATGCAATCTTTCAGATTACTTTCACATTAACTCAAGTTTTTACTTGATTTTAGAATTTTGCAGCTTAGGTAACATTAGCAAATATAAAACAAAGATGACTTCTCCAATTCTCCTTGCAATAATTAGAGATATTTCAAAACCATTAGAAAAGTTCCATAAAGAAGGATTTGTTCACTATGATATCAAACCTCAAAATATATTGCTTACATTATCAGGAGATATCAAAGTTTGTGACTTCGGAATCATGGGAAGAGAATTGGAAAGCGTAAAAAACACAACAAATGCAATTTCTTCATTAAAGAAAGGGACAGAAATGTACATGGCTCCAGAAGTAAAGGAAATGAATCAGCTTTCAACGGCAGCAGATATTTATTCTCTTGGTGTTACAATTTTCGAAATGATTTCGGGAATTCCGCTTTGCTTAACAAATTGCACAAGTTCTCAACAATGGTTTGATGAGAATCAACATAAAATATCAAATGGAAAACCAATAGCTCCAATCATCGAAAAGATTGTTAATTCTTGCTTGATTTCGGATCCTTCTTCAAGAATATCTGCAATCAATATCTTAAAGATGATCCCTTCTCTTCCACCATCTTTTATATTGTTAAAAGATCTAACTACAGTTGATATGGGTTCAATTGTTTAAATATTCTCATATTTTGGCAACTAAGAATAAAAAACGTTTTAATATTCTCAATGTATTTTCTGTTGTTATGTGATACTGCTTCTGGTCTAATAACTGTTTATAATCGACATTAAATTAGATCAATCTCTAATGATTGAATCAAAAAACGAATGAAATGATTCTTTTAGAAATGATACTGGCATATTTTGGCAAACAATCCTTTATTGAATGAAAAGTAGTAGGATATGACGGGTTTAGTGACTTTTTTTGTAAACGTAAGAATTCATACAATATCGAGTGATTTTGTATCATTTTTTTTAACATATGAAGTAAAAAATGTATGATTCTTACGGTTTTTATTCTTACGTTTTTGAATAAATCAAGATTTAAAAAATTTTCAAAATTGTAAGACATTTACACTCAGCCCAAACATAATGAAATAAATCATTAAAAAAATTAACATTAATTTTAAAATAATTTTTTTATCTTTTATAAAAGAAGCTATATATAGATGATGTCAGATATTCCGCGATTAATTAAACATTGTTTAAATCCTGAATGGAATCAATGGAGTCATAATCAAAGACCTCATAAACGAGTAAAAGAAATTAGAAATAAACTTCTTACGAAAAATTAAAACTTAGTTATGTTTATTATTTTATTTTTTTATTTTGTATGAAATGAGTGAATCAAAATTCGTGACTGTAAATCAATTAATGAATAAACTTTCACCAATTCTCACCCAGGTTAAACAAGTAGACGTTTATTTTGATGATTACATACAAAGTTTATTTTATAAAGGTAAGTTTAATATTAAACCTATTGCTTTTGCATTTGATGGTAAATTAATCGAAAATTCAAAAATTTGGAAATTAATTCCGGATATTGAATTTATAACAAATATTAAGGATAAATGGTTTAAACAACAAAACCACCTCACTAAAGTTCTTTGTAGATTAATGATTAAAACTGAGGAAAAAGAATTTAACGGGTTTAAATATCATCCGTGTAAAATTTTAGAACTTGGTAACGAAAAACTTCAGAAAAAATTAAACGATAGACTATCAAAAGATAAAGTTGAAAGAGTAAATAAACTCGCTAAAGGTAATGGTAATGATGAAGAAGAATTTGATGAGTTCAACATTGAACTTTAAGAAACTAATGATTATTTGAATTTATGAAATCAATTATTTGATTCATTCTTTCTTCAATCTCTTCTATTCTTTTTGTTAAATCATCTATTTTCATTAATGAGGTGATTCTTGTTTGAGGAATAGATTTCAAACTAACCACTCCTTTTATTTTTGAAATTTTGAATCCATCAACTTTAAACATTTTATTCAATTTACATGTTGTCAATTCTTCAAATAATTTTTTATTATTAGCATAATAGTCATTAAATTCTTCAACAGATGAAAAAATTTTTATTTCAGTAATTGGTTTAACAACGTTTATTTTTTGTTGAACATTTTCACTTTCATTTATTTCTTCCTCCTCTGTTTCATTTATTTTTAAAATCAGTTTCATTTATCATTAAATAAAAATTGGAATATAAGTGATGAAATATATTTTTTAATTAATATTAAATCAGAAATGGCGGCAGGATTCTTTAAAAAATTATGGGATGGAATTAAGAAAGCTGCGGGTTGGGTTCATAAAAAGATTATTAAACCCATTGCAAACTTTTTGGCACCAGTAGCGAAAACGGCAGGAACTATCATAGGTGGAGTATTAGGTACTAAAGCAGGTAATCCGGCGATGGGAGCACAAGCAGGTAACGCAATTGGTGGAATAGCTGAAGGAATACTTAATAAAATAGGGGGTAGATAGTGGAAAAATAAATTATTTTAAAATTATTTTTATCTTAGTATCGGTTGTAGTCTTTGATAAACTTTTTCTCCTTTATTTAAAACTTCTCTTATTGGGGCAGCTTTTGGTGTTATTGATTCAGCAACGTCACTAATTGCTTCTTTATTCTTAAATATCCAATTTGCTCCCTTCTTCAATGTTTCCCAAACTTTACTCGCTCCTCTTTTTACTTTATCCCACAGTTTCTTAAATATACCTGCAGCCATAGTTGATTATTTCATTAAGGATACCCTTACATTGCGTAGTTAGAAAGAGAATATGATATTGTCATGATTGCTAAAGTTTTAGGCTCCAGAAATGAATATACATCAAACTGAAACAATTGATAAATTGAATGAACTTTTGAGAGGTTCTCAAATAAAAAAAATTATCTAATTTTTTACAATATTACTATTATTTTATCCACATATGTATATATAGTAATTTGAGAAAACTTTTAGGAAAAAATAAGTTTAATAAAAATCTGAATTTTACTTGTTGTGGGATTGTTATTAATTGACACTCCAAACGTATTACTAATAGTTATGCGTATGCAATTAAAGTATTTCTGATGGACAAAATGTGAGATTTATATCAGATAATTCATTTCTACTATTAAGTTATTCATTTATGAGTTTGCACTTATTCGCACTAAATAAATAACTATTAAAAATTGTTTTAATTAATTGACACCATATAATAGAGTGAATTTTGTTTGATCAAACAACAATAGATGATAGATATAAAGCCAAGAAACTTGCTATTAATATGCTCTACTTGCTATTTCAATGTAAGTATGATATTTTCTAAATGTTTCGTTCAGATAACTTAGATATATTAGTCAAAATTTGAAATTTTAATAGCACATATATTAAAAATAATTATTATTCATAAAAGATTAATGAAATAGTAAAAAAATCAATCAAATTATAAAAATACAACATTTAGAAGAATTCTTATTATCCTTCAAAAAGTCAGTATTTCTGCTGTAATTTTCTACAACATTGTAGTTATTGCACTTTGTCTATGGATTTGTATATATGTTATATATAAATTATATATCTAAACTGCCCATAAGTGCAATTTTTATATAAATTGTTTATTTCTTTAACAATTTCATATGAAATATGCTTTTTTAAGCGTATCAAAGCTGTGTTCTTAATGTGCATGGATATATCAAGAAAAATGTCGAAAAAAAATGTGAATTCACAAATTCACTGAATTTTCACCGTTTTTTGAATTTTGCTACAGCACTAATATTAAATAATACTAAAATCTTCTGTCTTTGTAAAAGAATAAATTCTGACAAAAAGTGCTCGTTTAAATTTAATGATCATCTGTATGACTAAGTGGTAAAAAGTGTTTATGACCAAAAAGGGTTACATGCTTAGTCTATTTTTCTGACAGGATACTCTAGATTTACATGATCTCTATTTCATATCTCCGTTTTTAGATTCTTCGACAGATTTTATGATAGAAAACCAAGATTAACAAATTTCCGGCATGTTAATGAAGAAATCTGCAGCTACCCTCAATATTATTTCAATAATCAGTATCGTTTCTCTTACAATTTATTTTTTTCTCAATAATTTAACAAGAAATAACAATACACACTTGGTTTTACGTATAAAAGCTAAGTGTCGAACTTAATCAACTTTACTTACTTAGCAAATGAATATTTTTGTGGTTGCGAGTTCTGAATGCTGAAGTTTTAGATTTCTCTATAAATGATATCATTGCACTTACAATGTTGTTCCAGCCTATCGCATAAATCATAGAAAATCCAAAAAAAAAATAATATAAAGAAAATTCATGTCATGAAGTTCAAAAAATACCGTGTAACATTAAAATTTGTTATGCATAATACATTTTAGCTATTATTGATTTTTTTTTAATTTTCGAGAAATTGAATGGTGAGTCCGATAGAGAAATTTTTAAAAATCCTAGTGCCTCATAGAAGTAATTTCCCTCGTCTCCCATACTTCCAAATGTATGCATATGACATAAACTTTTATGCATTACACAAGTGGCCAATAATATCTATAGAGTAAAAAATTAGAAATTTAATTTTTTTATATGATAGTTATATTTCAGATTTGCGAGCGTAACTTTTTTCTCCATGGCATACTTGTTTTAAGAGCAAATGATCAAAATCGTCCTTCAATTATTGAAGGAGCTGATATCTTTTGAAAATTGAATTGAAAGGGTATTCAATTTTCAAATTTCCTCTCAATTTTGGAAACATATCAACTCTATGAATTAACAATTATGTGCCTTCACAGTTTATCAGTCATATAAGGTGCTTATAAAGAAAAAAGTTACGCTCGCAAAATATGTTTTTATATAGATTTCACATAAAATAATTATGTAATTTCTAAAAAGAATATTTTTGTTCTTGAATATTAAAGTGTATTGTAGTTTAAAAAGTTTTAAATATGTTGCTAAAATTTCAGGTTTATAGCTCATGTCTAGCATGACTTCTTCGTATGCGCAAAAAATCTGACACGTAAGGGTATCCTTAAAATTAAAAATTCATTTTCATCTTTTAATTTTGATTTTTTATTTATTAATAAATGACGACTAACTATTTGGTGCCAAACACTAAACCGATTAATGGAAATGTGTTTCATTCATTCGAAAAGATAAATGAAATATTCGCAAAGAATGACGGTAGAAGATATTATAGAGAACTTGAAAGTTCATGCTATGACTCTGATGCTCCATATTTTGATGATAAACAAACTCATTTAAGAATTACAAATCCGGCTCATGATGTGAATCAATTAGGTGACACATATATTAAACGCAAAGTTAAAGCAACTCTAGTTTCAAATAAAGCTTTCACATGTGATGCCGCTTTTAAATGCATGCGTTTATTCGTTGGTTACAAATCATCAAATCAAAGCTTTAAACAATTAGAAGTAGAAACCGAAAGAGGTGATGCCGGTTATCTTCAGATGGATTGCGCCCGTGAATCTTTCGCATTTGCAACATATAAACCAAAATCAGAAAGGAAAGTTAAAAAGTTTGTTCATTCGTTATATAATAATGTTCAAAAATATGATAACTCAGTATGTGGTAAATATATTGACCCTTCAGAAGTTTTCAAGAGAGCAAATGAAGAAGTTGATGTCACTTTTGATATGATTATTCCGGTAAATGATTTGTTAGCATTTCAGGCGTTTGATGATTATCCTAAATCATTTGGTGAAATCATTCTTAAATATTATGTTTTCAGGGATACTTTAGTATTTTGTCAGGTTGACCCGTTAAGAGTTGCTGATTTACAAAATCACGTTTATGAAAAGATAACTGATGAAAATTATGAAAAGATTATGAATCATGTTTATAAATATGATCGCAAATTCCAACAAATCGGACTTCCTGCCAAATTAATTACAAGCTTAGCCGCTACATCTGCTGACGCAACAGTTGATGACGTTATTATTTCATGCACAAAGATGGAAGTTTTAGAGGATAAATGCATTACACCAGGATACGGTTTAATTGAAGAATCAGTTAAAGCAATACCACGTTTATTCAGTAAGGAAGATCCATTCATGATTCCAGCTCAACATATTGACGTTCGTTCACTAAATGGAGGTTGCATCACTCCTGAAGGTATTAACTCAGATTTCTCATACGCTCTTCATAATGTTACAGATGTTGTGTTAGCATTTCCGAAGAATGCAATGCAAAGAACAGTTTTAGAAAATCCAATGCTTCGAGGTCTTCATGTCACTATAGATTCCAGAAACTTCCCCGATCAAGCGATGACCACAGTGGGCGACATATTCTTTACACGTATGCTTCAAGCTTCTGATTTAGATGGAGTGAATGAATGCACAGAAGAATACGAGGACTCATTAACTAGACCACTGAATGCAGATGATGGCACGCCATTAGCTAGAACATGGAAAGACCAAACTTCATTCTTATGCACTATTCCAGTTCAACGTGATGGAGCGGGTATATTCTTTGATGGATTAGAAACTTTCAACTCACAAGTTACAGTACAAGTGAAAGCTTATCCAATCATTCAGGGTGAAAATGACACTTACTGTTCAAAGGTGACAAATCCTCCTCAGGTTTGGTTTACTAGGACTACATATTGGACATGGACACCGGACGAAGGTTTGAAATATCATCCAACAGGTACACCACCACAGTATAGAAGTTCATATGATGAAATATTGATGAATAGAAATGTTTAAAATTATAAATTTATTTTTGATTAAATGGATTTAAATTCATACACTCCTTATGAAGAATTAGCGGGAGTATATAATACATACGTAGATGATATGATTAATGAAGCATTGAGTGATAATAGAAATGCTCTATCTAAGGAAAAATTAATGAAAATTCCATATTCTGAATGTTACTTAAATTCAATCACTGCAGCAATTGGTAAACAAAATAAAGGTAAAACATTAACGATATTAAAACAAATTATCATTATTGCTAACACTTCCCCCATTCACATATGTTAATTTATATCAACCGTTCAGGTTCACCTTCAGATGATACATTTGAATCTTTAAAGCATTTAATCAAAATTCCAATTATTTATTTATCACAAGAAGAAGCAGAAGATTATTTAAAAAACTTTTTAATGTATAAAGAATTATATAATACAATCAAGAAACAAGGATTAGAGGATAAAATTATTGATAAACAACGGGATGAATTATTTGAAACACTTTCTATTTCAAATTTTGATAGAGAATTTTTGCATTCACTCATTTTTCTAGATGATGCAGTGAAATCAAAACTAATAACAAATGAGAAATCATATTTTAATCAGTTATTAACTCAATGTCGACACATTCAGTGTTCATTCTTTATGGCTGTTCAATATTTCAAAGCATTAAGCACAAACATTAAATCAAATCTATCAACACTTTTCATTTTCAGTGGGTTTAGTCGTCAACAGTTGAACGTTATGCTTTAGCAAGTGAATTTACCAATGAGCATTAATGAACTTTACACACAATATCAGCAATTAGGTGAACATGGAAAAATAATAGTTGATTTAAATAAAGGAGGTGTTAAATTTGATTAACTTTTTATAATTAATTTTTATTTTTTATTTATAATTAAACATGACAGAAATAGCAAATCTTCTACAGGTTCCATTAAAACAAGGAACAAACAAAAAGGGTGCATATAATAGAACTATGAAAGTTCCTGATGGAATGAAAGAATTAGTTCATATTGTTGCTGGTCTTCAAAAAGATGTTAAACAAATGAGAAACGCTTTAACATTACCAGAAGCTCAAGCATATGCCAAACGTCAAGGTCCAAATTGGGAAGCACATGAAGCAGACATTACGGGTCCAAATGGAAAACCTGATGGTATAAATGAAGTTTTCGTTACTGATGGTCAAGGTAATATTAAAGTCATAAATGGTTACAAATTAACTATAACTGATTATCCTAAACGTAAAGCATATAATGAACGTTATCCTATGCAATTTGATGAAAATGGAAAAGCTGTTAAACAATACATTGGAGAAGGTGAAAATGGTCCAATTAATTCATACCGTTATAATCCATATTCTTATTTCAATGAAGAATTAAATGCTATTGAAGAGGGACCGGATGGATTACCACGATATTCTAACCAGTTTGATGGTCAATATGCAAATATTAGACCTGAAATTTCAGCTAAGAAATTCTTTAAAGTTGCTTTATTCGATCCAGTTTTCGCAAATGTTAAAGATGAACTTAAACAGCAATTCCAACCAATTATAGTAGCAAGAATTGCATCAGGTGCTTTATCTCAAGCATTCAAAGATTTAATTAAGAAACCATTATATCAGCAACGAGGTTTAACTTATGATTTAGTTAAGGAATCAGATAAAAGAAAATTTGAGAAATCAGATGATTATAAGAATGCAATTAATGAATATATTAGGTCTATTAATTACAATGAAACAGCTAAAAATCAACTTCAAGAACAAATACAGGGAATAATAGATTCAAAACTTCCAGCAAAATAAAAGTTTAAATATATTTTTTTATTCGATTATAAATGAGAAGACGTTTCACTAGTCAAAAGAACACTAACGCAAAAGCAGAGATTACGGTTGGTTATAACGTAAATGATGATAAATCACGAATTATTCAAAATGTTAAAGTTAATGTTAGCCCTGAATTAACAAGGTCAGCAACTCAACCAAATTTATTAACTCGTGACTTACCGAAAAAGGAGGAGGAGCAAAATAAAGAAGATGGAGACCCAATCATTTTATCTGAACCCAGTAAAGAACCTGTTGAAATTCCCACTTATCCAACATACCCCCACCTCTTTCATCAAACATCGAGAACCCATATAAAATAGACATTAATTCTGAATTAATGAAAATTTACCGTGATATAATAATTAATAATTATGATTCAATAATAAATTTAATTGACCAATCCGGTTTAATTATTTTACCTTATGAATCATTAATTCACATTATCGCCATTCTTTGTGATGTTCAAGATTCAGACGTTAAGATTCAATTTTTCATAGATGATGAGGTTTCATGCTGCGGAACAGTTGCAAAAATAAATCCTATAAAGGATATTAGCACAATTAAGATATCAAAGAATGGAACAACAACTGAACTTCATTTAACATATAATGATATTTATAATAAAATAGTTGATGAATATAAAATATCACTTGAAAAATTCTTTGTTAAGGCTATTTAATATTCAAGCATTAACATTATCGAATAATAATCCTTTGAATCATAATCAATAATAATTGACCTTTCACCAGTTTCTATCGTTTGTTTTATTTCTTTTTGTTCCCCACTATCCGGATCGGTCATTGTAATTGTTTTTGTTATAGTATCAGCTTTATCTTTAACTTCAATCTTTTTTCCATCGGGATATTTAAACCAAAATTCCAAAAATTCGATATTGTCAATCTGTTCATATTTTAATCTATCAATTACATTTTTAATACCATCTGAAAATCTTATGAACTGGTCATTATATGGGTTTGATTGAACTAAATTTGAATGAAGTGAAATATAACCTGTTGATGAATATGACACTGACTCATATTTTCTGAAAACACTAAAATTTATAACATGAATGAATTTCTTATTCGTTGAATTTATGAATTCTTGAGGTAATCTTATTCTAGTTTTATTTATCACTGGAAAATAACGCTTTACCATATTTTTAATCGTAATAAAAATGTCAATTATCAATATTATTTCGAATAATAGCTGTGAATTAAATTTAACAGTTAGCGGAATTTATAATGTTACTCTCGTTTCTGTGAGTGGTAAATTTAATCCCATTCTTTTAGACCTTTCAGATTATATATCATTTATTAAAGATGACCTTGAAAAAACGTATGATATGTATATAAATAATGTGATAGCGAAATGGGATATTAACATGATTTTAAGTTATTTAAATGAATCATTTATCGTATGGTATGAAGAAAATTTTAAATCAAAACCTGATAAACTTTTTGAACTTGATGAAATAAATAACCTTATTAAATTTCCGCTGAAAATTAAATTTTGTACTCCTCATCTTCGTTCATTGTTGGGGATATTAAATTTTGAAAAAGATGTTGGGGATGTTTTGTATTCTGACACTGGTTCCAATTTCATTTTAATAAAATGTGATAAAGTTAATACCCCAATGAGATTTTCACATCAAACATTAGACCCTAACTCTTACCCATCAATACAAAACATTTTATCCATCAACTTAAACACATTTTCTTTATCATATCCGTTTCAATTATCCAGGAATTCATTTATTCTTCATTCAAAAGATTTATCAAATATTAAATTTAGAATAACTGACCTATTTGATTGTGATTTAGAATTTATGAATGAAATATTATGGCAATTTCAAATAGAGAAAATAGCCGATGAGATAACGGATTAAATATTTATTTTTAAATCGTAATAAATGATTAAACAACAGCAACTTAAGGCGCAAAGCACCCAGGTCCTTCAGACCATTACATACGCCATATATGCATATAATTCAAAGACGGCAGAACAAACGCAAAGGTTGAAATATGGAGATTTAGAGATAGTATTGAAAAATGACCGTTTCGAATTCGTTTGCAAAGGTGGTGCAGTGATATCAAATATAAAAGAAATTTTATTTATGAATTCAAAAATTAAAGGAATAACGGATGATATAACATCAATTCCACCAGAAGAACAGAGATATTACACATTAAATGCATTTCCTAAAGTTTTGAAGATTGGAAGATTTAATTTAAATGAGGAATTCATAGAAGGTTTCCTAAACGACATAATGAAGAAGGTGGATAAGGAATATGTGGATAGTGAATTAAATAAGAAGGCAAATTTGGTTTATGTTGATGAAAAAGATAATGAAATTAAAGAAAAGGTTGAATGGTATCATGAATGGACATCGGAGACTTTTAAAGTTAAAGCTGATACAGGGTGGGTTTCAGGATGTTTAGACCTTAAAGCAGATAAACTTATGTTGATGAAAAAGATAATGAAATTAAAGAAAAGGTTGAATGGTATCATGAATGGACATCGGAGACTTTTAAAGTTAAAGCTGATACAGGGTGGGTTTCAGGATGTTTAGACCTTAAAGCAGATAAGGAATATGTTGATGAAAATTATGCAAAGAAGTCGGAAGTAAATGATGTGATTACAAGCATGAAAAATGAAATACTTCAAACATTATATCCTGTTGGTTCTATTTATACGTCAATGAATTCAACAAATCCAGAAACAGTTTTAGGTTTTGGTACGTGGAAGCAGATTGTAGATAAATTCTTATACTGTGCTAGATATTCAAAGCAAACAGGAGGTTCGAAGAAAATTAAAGAAGCAAACCTTCCACCGCACACTCATACAGGAACGACAAACTTTTCTGGCGACCATAGCCACTCATTAAGAGACCACCCATTATACAACTCAGAATATAAAGCTGGCAATGATGTTTTATCTCCATCTTATAACAATGCAGCAAAAAAGATTTTTCGACCAACTGAACCAGGAGGAAATCATGTCCATACTTTCACAACAAATCCAACAGGCTTGGGTAAAGATTACATGCCACCATTTGTGACTATATTCGCATGGTACCGAATGAACTAAATATATTTTATGTCTGTAATTAATTAGGTAATGAAGTAATGGATGAACTGCAGAAATATATTTTATCGTTAATGGTTTCAGGTTATTCAATAATTAATTATTTTTGAAGAACTGAGGGTGTCACTACGTCACCATGTGTCACCAGGTTATTTAACTTCTCTTAAAAATGATGACAACATGACATTTTGACAACATCAACAAAGGAAATTAAATCGTAAATGTTTTTAGGTTATTCAATAATTAATTATTTTTGAAGAACTGAGGGTGTCACTACGTCACCATGTGTCACTCGGTTAATTAACTTCTCTTAAAAATGATGACAACATGACATTTTGACAACATCAACAAAGGAAATTAAATCGTAAATGTTTTCGTTTATGATTTCGTAAATGTTTTCATAAATGTTTTCAGTGTCACTACGTCACCATGTCACCAGGTTAATTAACTTCGCTTAAAATTACTGACAACATGACATTTTGACAACAGTCCAGGAAATTTGATGCAGTCCAAAAATAAAGTTAGTTTTAAAATTATTTTTATTTTTTTTATTTTGTATGTAAGAACAGAAATGTCAGTCGAAGCAAAAACATTCACGAACAAATCTAATGACGAAACATTCACAAAAGGCACTTATAATGGTATTGAAGTCTTACGTAGAGACAAGGATGGTTACATTAATGCAACAAAGATGGCAAGAGAAGCGGGAAGGTTAAACCATTTAAACAGATTTCTCAATAGTACTAAAATGCAGGAAATTCTTGAGTTTTGGATGAACGAATACGGTCAAGCCAAAAGTGGCTCGACCTCAAAACAAGCATTTTATGAGCTTACTAAGGGTGTTATAAATGAATTCAAAGGTATTTACATACATCCTGACCTCGTTCATTTTGTTGCTGAATGGTGCTCTGTAAAGTATGCATTTTATGTCAAAGATATTATGGACTCCATAGACAAGAAAGTTCATGAGAAATTAGATGAAGAAGAACTCGAAGATACAGTAGAGAATGCTAAACATTTGTTTGAAGAAGAAGTTAGAAAAATGTGCGAAAAACAATTAGAACATGAACGTGAGATATGTTATGGTTATAGAGATTCTCCATACGAACTAGACCAATGGGAACAAGAAGATTTAAAGAGAGAATTTAGAGAATATGAACTCGCTAAGATAGCATTAGAAACTGCAGAAAAGAAGTTAAAAGTTTGGGGTCGTTTTGTACAAAAATATTGTGAGTAAATGAACCATTTATTTTTGTCATAAACGACCAAAAATATATTTTATCGTTAATGGTTTTTAGGTGTCACCACGTCACCATGTGTCACCTGGTTAATTAACTTCTCTTAAAATTACTGACAACATGACATTTTGACAACAGTAGAATAAATATAAATTAAATGTTTTCGTTTATGATTTCGTAAATGTTTTCATAAATGTTTTCAGTGTCACTACGTCACCATGTCACCAGGTTAATTAACTTCTTTTAAAAATGATGACAACATGACATTTTGACAACAGTCCAGGAAATTTGATGCAGTCCAAAAATAAAGTTAGTTTTAAAATTATTTTTATTTTTTTATTCCTATATAAATGACAGCAACAAACAACAACAGCAACTACATCGTTTCTGATGAAAAAGTTATTGATTCATTAGCTGAGGAATTAGTTGTGGCAGAAACTAAAACCCTCAACGAAAGAATTGGTGAAAACAAGATTGATTTACATAACTACCTCAAACACGATGGAGGAAGAGGAAGGAAAACTGGTATGGCTTTATTAGTAAATAAAATTTCGAATTTAACGATTATAGATGTTGATATCAATAAATCGTACAATGATGAACTTAAAGAAACAGTTAGAAAAGATATTTTATCAAAACTTTCGGATAAAGATGTTATCGTTAAAACTGCTTCAGGAGGTCTTCACATTTATTGTAACACTAATTTCTTCTATTCAACCTCGAACAGAATGATTAAATGTTATTCCTGCAATGATTATGATATCGATATCATGACTTCAATGGATGATTCAAAGCGTTCTTTAGTAGTTATGGCTGATTCAAGAGTTCGCAAGAATGCAACAGAACCAATCAATACATACTCATTCATTCGTGGAAGTTACGATTCAACATTAACTAGAACAGTGAATGATATATTAAATGATTTGAATATTAAGGTAAGAGTTGAACAAAAGAACGAAGAAATAAAGAGTATAATGAATGAAAACAAAAATGTAAACATTGACGATAAACTAGCTCAAAGCATAGTTGATGGCATCAGTGATTTTGAAGTACATAATGACGGTGGAAACATGAATTTAGAAAAAGAAGTTACATTATTCACACTGTTTCAAGCTATTAATTCGTTACCTAATCATTTGATTAATGAAGCATACGATAACGTTTATAACTTCTGCAGCTTAACTGAAAATGCAAAAAGTAATTTTGAAAAAGCACGTAGTAGATATGCACATTTAATGACTTCTCCATTTGTTTTGGTGAAGATTCTAAAACTATATCAAAAAGAATATTATGATGAATATGTTTTACCTTTATTACGTAAGCCAAAAATAACATTTGATATAAAACTTGATGACTCGTTTTTGATAACAGATATTAGACGCAAGGCTGAAAATCATCAGTATAAAAACAGTTCTGAAGTAATTGAGGATTTATCACGTGTAATCCGTTTTGTAGATTGTGGAAACAAATACTTCATTCAGAAAGATTACAACATACACGACAAAATGAATCAAATATCATTCGTTCTTCAATCAAACATGAAAGAGTCACTCAAAATGATTAAATTGTTTAAAGAAGAAGGTAAAACAATAACAGCATGGGACGTACTATTAAATCAATTGTCTTCATTAACCGTTAAGGGTGTTTGCTTTAAATCTGATTCTCCAGATGTTTTCTCAACGTTTCAGGGTTATAAATACAACATTCTCGAAAAACCAGATTACTCAAAAATTGAGATGTTTATAAATTTCATTAAAGAAGTCATTTGTGATAATAATGATGAAGTGTATAAATACCTTCTCGGCTGGATTGCATCAATGATTCAACATCCTGGAATCAAGAATGAAACAGCAATTATTTTGAAAGGACTTCAGGGAACAGGTAAAAACAGATTCACAGACATTATTTCTGAACTTCTCGCTGGTTATTCATGTAAAAACATTACCGAAATAGGTGAGCTAACGGGTAATTTCAATTCGGTGGTTGAGAATAAAATGTTTCTTGTACTTAATGAACTCAAGAATGTGGGTGAAGACAGACTCGCAAACTTCAACGCTTTGAAATCAATTATTACGGATAATGAGATTAGAATTAATGAAAAGAATCAACCCAGAAGAACTGCTCAGAATGTTGCAAACTTCATTTTCGTAACTAATAACGTTTACCCTGTCAAAATTGAAGTTGGAGACAGAAGATACATAGTTTTAAGAGTTAATGGTAAATTCAAGGGTCAATTTGATTACTTCAAGAATTTAATGGATTCGTGCACAAAGGAATTTTATGATAATTTACTAACATATTTTATGCAATATGACCTTTCATCATTTAATGTACGAATCATACCGATGACTGAAGCCAAACAAGATTTAATTGAATTATCAACAAATCCTTTAGATGTATGGATAAATACACATTATGATGAATTGTGTGCAGGTATGACATGTAAAAATGCTCTATTCTGCAAACCATCAGACATGAAAGACAAAAACTTTCAAATGAGCATTAAGGATAAATGTGATAGGAAACAGAGAAGAATAGATGGTAAACAAACATGGTGTTATGTTTTGAAAGAAGAAATGAAAGGATTATATAAACAGGTTGAACCAAACGATAATGATGATTCATTTACTGACGATGAAATACCTGTAAATGAAGCTTTATAAAGTATGATTTGAATTTATTTTTGCATTAATCCTGCTGTGTTGTCAAAATGTCATGTTGTCATCATTTTTCAGAGAAGTTAATTAACCGAGTGACACATGGTGACGTAGTGACACCTTCAGTTATTCAAAAATGCTTCATAAGTGCCTTCCTCCTTTCGTACCTGTTGTCTAAATGTCATGTTGTCACACTTTTTAAAAGAAGTTAATTAACCAGGTGACACATGGTGACGTGGTGACACATTCAGTTATTCAAAAATAATTCATAAATGCCTTCCTCCTTTCGTACCTGTTGTCTAAATGTCATGTTGTCATCATTTTTAAAAGAAGTTAATTAACCAGGTGACACATGGTGACGTGGTGACACCTTCAGTTATTCAAAAATAAATTTTCTTATCATTCAAATTAACTAAAGATGAACTTAATAAAATGATGATAAAATAACTGATAACAAATTTATTTTTATATAAATTGGATACCCCACAAGCTCAAAATTTGCCACGAATCATAACAAGGGAGGAAATGATAAAAATGATGCAAGAACAAATTAAAAACAACAAACCACGAAAACCGAGAAGATGTGGTTA